GCGAGGCCGAGGCCGCGCTCTTCTTCAGCGGGAACGCGCTGCTGCCGGGCGCCGAGCCCGCCGCGCACTGCTACTGCGGCCACCAGTTCGGCCAGTTCGCTGGGCAGCTGGGCGACGGCGCCGCCATGTACCTGGGCGAGGTGTGCACAGCGGCCGGCGAGCGCTGGGAGCTGCAGCTCAAGGGCGCCGGCCCCACGCCCTTCTCCAGGTGGGTCGTGGCCGGAGCTGCGGGGGGCTGACCCCTGGAGGGCCCCCCATGCTCTTCGGGGTGTGTGTGAGCGCGCGCACAGAGGTTTCCTCCCCAGTAGGATGAGATGTAACTCTGGAAAAGTTTGATCTAGGGACGTAGAACATGGGGGTGGCAGCTTTCTGGCGAAGGGAACAGCTCATGCCAACGCCTTGAGGCCAGAACAAGAGGACAAGAAGGAGGTGCTGTGGCCACTGGGCCTCCTCCTCTGTTGACCTGCTGCGGCCAGCCCAGTGCCCCTGATCCCTCTGACCGGCACAGCGGGTGGATCCTGCTCCTGTCAGGCGGAGTGTCTGATCCCATAGCACTGGCAGCTGCCCATGGTCTCTTCTCATAAACAATCCAAGGACTTTGGAGTCAGTTCTGCACATAACACTCCTGTTTACCTGGCGCCCAGCCACCACTGCTCAAGGGAGATGGGGTGACTTGTCAGGCAGTCTGCTTCCCTCCAACAATTTGGCATGTTGGTGTCCACTCACAGGTAATTGCTGTGCGGCCAGTGCCCTGAACCAGGACAAGACCCCTCAGATCTGCCCTCCCAGTGGGCATTCTCCCAGGCACAGGCTTCCAAGAGCTCTTAGGCCAGCCCTGTTCTAACCCCGCAGTGAGGCAGGCAATGTCAGATGCTGGCACAGAAGCCAGGTGGTCCAGGGCCTGGGTCCAGTTGCTGACAGCCTGGTCCAGCAGGGTGCTCTTCCCATAGCTGTCCTGCCTCTCATGCACAGACTGCTGACTGTCCATTTTGCTATCACATGATCATATCAATAGATGCAGAAAAAGCACTTGACAAAAGCCAACACCCATTTATGATAAAAACTCAGTAAACTAGGAAAAGAGAGGAGCTTCCTCAAATTGGTGAAGAATATCTACAGAAAACCTAAAGCTAACATCTGCTTAATGATGAGAACCTTGAAGCTTTCCCACTGAGGTCAGAAACAAGGCAAAGATGTCCCCTCTTACCACCTCTGTCCAGCATCCTCCTGGAAGTCCTAGCAAATGCAACAAGACAAGGGAATCAAAGGCATGCGGATTGAGATGGAAGAAATAAAACCATCTTTGTTCACAGATGATCGTCTGTGTAGAAAATCTCAAAGAAGTGACCAAAAACTTGAGCTAATAAGCAATTGTAGCAAGGTTGCAGGATACAAAGTTGCAGGATACTATACAGAAGTCACTTGCTTTATTATATACCAGCAATGAACAGGTAGAATTTGAAATTAAAAAAATACTAATACATAAAAACCTGCACATGGGTGTTTGCAGAAGCTTTACTCATAATTGCCAAAACTTAAAAGCAACCAAGATATCCCATAAGGTGAATGGATAAACAAACTGTGGCACATCCAGACAGTGAAACATTATTCAGCACTAAAAAGAAATGAGCTATGAAGCCATGAAAAGACATGGAGGAGCCTTAGATGCATATGACTGAGTGAGAGAAGGCAATCTGAAAGGCCACATGTGGTGTGACTCCAACTATACAACATTCTGGAAAAGGCAGAACTATGGAGACAGTAAAAAGATCAGGGGTTACAGTGGAGAGATGAACAGGTGGAGCACGGGATTTTCAAGCCGGTGAAAATACTCCATACGGTACTGTAATGGTGGATACACGTCGTTATGCATCTGTCCAAACACTTAGAATGCACACCACCGAGAGAACCCTAATGTAATGCGGACTCTGGCTGATGGTGATGTGTGGGTGCGGCTTATCAGCTGTGACACGTGCCCCTGTGGTGCGGGCTGTCGATAATGGGGGAGGCTGTGCGCCTATGGGGGCAGGGAGTATACGGGAAATCCCTGAACCTTCCCATTAGTCCTTCTGTGAACCTAAAACTGCTCTGAAAAATAAAGTCTTAGACAAAAATAAAGGCTTAGTATAAAAAAAAACTTCAAGCCATACAAGGCTGTCTGAAGTTGTCCGAGATCCTCCCTCCACTACAACTAATGCTGTGTATGTGTTATTGTAAGACTGCTTTTGTAAAATAAATGCATAAAAATAGAATGGCAGGCTCACGAGTGTGTAACACTTTGAGCAGGCTGGGTCCTGTCGGAGGCCTGACGTGGCCTTCGCTGTCCTTGGCATTAATTCGGCCTCCAGCTGCAGGCTGGGCACTCAGCACTGTGGCTGCCAGACCTGGGATGAGGTTAGTGGCTCATCGGTATCTGGTATCATCTAGAACAGACATTTTTACAGTGATGTTAGAGCTGCTGTGGACTGTTTTTAAAAAGCTTTTAGGGTGCTTTCTTTCAGTCCCTTCCATTTGCTGCCCAATCCTCGGTGTGGAACGGACGCCTGCCCGACCGGCACCATGACCTCTGTGTTTGATTTTAGACAGGCTGATGGTCGCAAAGTGCTGCGGTCAAGCATCCGAGAGTTCCTGTGCAGCGAAGCCATGTTCCACCTGGGGATCCCCACCACGAGGGCCGGGGCCTGCGTCACATCCCAGTCCACAGTCATTCGAGACGTGTTCTATGATGGTAATCCAAAATATGAAAAATGCACAGTTGTGTTGCGTATAGCTTCCACTTTTCTAAGGTAATGCCGGGGTTCTTCAGGCCTATCTACGTGCTTGCTTTATCCAGTGGTAGATTTGTGCTTAGGCAGCTGGAACGTCTGGTAGAGGCACGTGCACTGCGGTGACACACGCGTGGACTCGGCCCCTGGCCGGTCCCTAGAGAGCAGAAGCGACTGTCCATGAAGTAGATGCTTTGCATCCGCGGGGAGGGAGTTACGTGGGAAAGGCACTGGGCATCTTCTGGGTCGGGAGTCCCGTCCTGCCTGTGGACAGCTGTGCTGAGCCTTCCCACGCTCCCTGTCCAGGCCCTTGTCGCCGCCAGAAGAGATGGGGTGACAGAGAGGCAGCTAGAGCTCTGGTGCTGGCCTGGGAAGGGGCACCCCGAAGCACCAGTGCAGGGGTGCAGGGCCTCGGATAGCCAGAGGAGGGTGTCCCAGATGTGGGGTTCTGGGAAGGGGCACGTGCAGAGCTGTTCACTGGAGTTTATGACGAGGAACTACATCAAATTCACCAAGAAAGGGGCTCATTTTATGTTATGCATCAGGGCTGTTGCCGCCTGGTGTGCTCCAGGCTATGGTGGCCATGCTTCCCCAGGCCCCGGTCATGACCTGGAGGCCTTTCTGGCTCTGTCTCCGATCTGAGCCTGTTAGTCCTTGATGTCACCATGCTGTCTGGCATCAAACACCTTTCCAATACTGACCCCCTGAACCCAGAGCTCTCAGGTGGCGGCTGTCGTGGTCTTGTGGTTCTCCTGTCCTGCGGGGCCAGGCTGACCCAGGCTGACCCTGTGCATGTCGGGAGGCCCCGAGACAGCTCATCTGTCACCAGGTCAGTCCTCAAGTGCTTGCTGGTCACCCACACTTGAGGCTGACAGCCCCTGTCCTCTGGGGAACGGGAGGAGCCTAGGCAGCCATGGGCCTCATCCTAGGAGACCGAGAGTTTGGCTCCACAGCAGCACGCCTGCATTTTGACCAGACCGTTCTTTGCTGTGGGGCTGTCCTGTGCCTTATAGGATGCTGGGCAGCACCCCTGGCCTCCACCTGCTAGTCGCTAGTGGTGACCCCAATTGTGACAACCAAAGACGTCTCCAGACAGTGCCTCAGCCCCCCTGGGGGACATGAGGACCCTGAGGAGAACCACTGCTGACCGCTCACAGGCAGTGTCCATAGCAGATCCGGCCTTGCTCGTCACCCCACTGCAGGACGCCTCTTGGTGTGGGAGGACAAGCACAGAGCCCTTCTTGTCCTCATGGAGTTGGACAGGGACGGCTGTGGTGGTTCCTGGGCCTCCCCAGCCACGTGCCCTGGGCTGTGTTCAAGTTGACTAGAAGTGAAGCCTGTCTGTATTTGCGTCATTGAAAGAAGAGTTGTATTTTTGTTAGTTTTGTTTTAATCAAGGTGTTCTTCCCACTATGGGCTGCAAGATCGAGCAGCCAGACTTCTTTCTTTTTTCCTTTTTCTTGCAAGGGGGTGGGTCTTATTTAACCTGTTGAAAACACGGTCTTCCCTCCAGGTTCGGCTCCTTTGAGATTTTTAAGTCTGCAGATGAGCACACAGGCCGTGCAGGCCCCAGCGTGGGGAGAAATGACATCCGGGTGCAGATGCTTGACTATGTGATTGGCAGTTTTTACCCTGAAATCCAGGCCTCTCATGGCAGTGACAGTGTGCAGAGGAATGCGGCCTTCTTCCGGGAGGTAAGTGGGGCTGCACCCCCTCCCTGTGGGCGGATGCCAGGTGTCCCCGCCCCGCCTGCCAGTGAAGACGTGGTCATTTTTGTCTGGTGGACAACAGTTTTCACTTGCTGTCCCTGCCCTTCTCTCTGAGCCGCCCTCCTGTCCCAAACCCTCATCACCACCTGCTCTCTTTGACCAGGGCTGGCTTCTCAGAAACACTGTGTTGAGGGTCATGGGTCCTGGAACAAACCAAGGCTCAGTTTGTTTGAGTGGTGCTGACGGGGCCCGCATGCTGTGCGCCTGCCAAGCCCAGCGGGGCCTTAGCCAGCAGGAGCTTTGGAGGGAAGGATTCTGCTTGGGTGGGAGCCTGGGTGCTGGCAGGGGTGGGGCACCTCCTACGTGGGGCCTGTGCTCAGTGGCCCCGACCACACACACCTTGGCCGGCCCAGTCTCTCCATCTGGGGGAGATGCTGACTGCCCGGGCCTGGGTCTGGGTCCACCCCCAGAAGGATCAGGTGTGGCCCCCATCCCGTGGGCAGTGCACATGGCCCATCATGATGTTTGGAGTGTGATGGGTGTGCCAGGCCTCACCTGCTCCTGCTCGGGGCCTGCAGCAGCAGTGAGTGGAAGCAGAGGGGGGGCGGGGCCTGGGGTCTGTCTGCCTGGGGCTGGACGGCCCGTGGGTCAGCGCTCTTCCTCCAGAAGTGGGTGCTCAGCAGGGGTTTGTAGGGCCCCTCCTGCACCGGTCACTCCCCTGCCCCCACTTCAGCCACACCCTTTCTCCCCATCTTTCATGTGGGTGCGTGCCTGGGCCGAGGCACGCCAGGAGGAGTGTCGGGGCTCAGCTCATACCTGTGGTGGGTGACCTGGGCAGGTCGCTCTGCCTCTCTGAGCTTCGGTCTCTGTCTTGCTGAGAGGACGGTGCTGCCCGATCCCTGAATGTCCTCAGCCTCACATGAGGCGTGGCGCGTGCGAGGCCAGCGTCTGTGGGCACTGGGCGGTGGGGAGCCTTCCAGTGTGGCCCTGTCGCGGGCCTCCTGTCCTCCCTGCGGTCAGCATGTCCTGAGGCTGCCTTGGGGCGCTAGGCAGTGGGGTCGGGGGTGAGCAGCAGGGCTGGCAGCCAGACCTGGCCTGGGCATGTCGGCCATTTGAGCCTCCTTCCCTGGCAGCCCCAAGGGCCAGGTGGGCCCCCAGGCACAGGTTTCCTGACAGTTGGGTAACTTCCTTCCTCATTTCCACATAGTCATCCTAGTGGCCTGAGTCATGGGAATGTCAAGGTTCCCTGATGTTTTTGGTTTGAGTAAAAGCGAAAAATCAGTTAGTACATAAAAGAGATGGTGTATGCGGGGATTAAAGCCTGCACATATCGACTCATCCAAAATGCTCTTTCCTCCTTAAATATTCGTTAACATTCTCCCCGTGGTTGAATGTTGGTTGGGATGACAGGGCACTGGGACAGACCCCACGCAAGTCACCAGAGAGCGAGAACCACTCAGAGCAGAGCTTCGGGGGGGGGTGGGGGCGGGGGCCGGGGGAGTGACCGGCGCCTGCCCTGCCGCAGGTGACGCGTCGCACAGCCCGGATGGTGGCTGAGTGGCAGTGTGTCGGCTTCTGCCACGGCGTGCTCAACACAGACAACATGAGCATCGTGGGGCTTACCATCGACTACGGGCCCTTCGGCTTCCTGGACCGGTGAGCAGCCCCGGGGCCAGCACGTGGGCCTCGTGCAGCCCTGTTGCCCAGCCGGGGACACTGCCGGGCGGGGCACACGACAGTGGCGGGTGACGGGGAAGGACCTGTGGATGTGCAGCTGCTTTTGTTAATATGTTGTTCAGGGCGTAGTTCTCAGCAATACCTGGTCGGCTGTTCCCAGAAGCAGAAATCCCCTGGAGGGTTTTGAGCAGAGAAGCATTTTAAAAAGGGTCCCTCTACTCCTGGGTTGAAAATGGAGAGGAGGGGCACGATGGGGGCAGGTGGGGAGCACGAAGAGGGCTGTGTCCGACCAGGAGCAGAGGCAGCCCCGGGCAAGTGCTGAGGAGGGCGGCTTCCCTGCTCTTGAGGTGGAGCTGTCAGGGCTGGTGGCCGGTTGTGTGAGCAGGAGAACCCAGGACGGCTGCAGGGTCCCTGACCGGAACCTGTAGGGCCAGGGCCCCTGTGGGCAGGGCAGGAGGGCGGCAGCCACACAGGCAATGCCTTTGGGTGCTCTGCAGGGGTGCACATCGCCCCCCTGACGGGTCCCCTCAGGCAGCACCAAGGTTCTCTGCCCTGTGTGGCAGGTACGACCCCGACCACGTGTGCAATGCCTCCGACAGCGCTGGGCGCTATGCATACAGCAAGCAGCCTGAGGTGTGCAAGTGGAACCTGCAGAAGCTGGCCGAGGCCCTGGAGCCCGAGCTGCCCCGAGAGCTGGGTGAGGCCATCCTAGCGGAGGAATTTGATGCTGAGTTCCGCAGGCACTACCTGCAGAAGATGCGCAAGAAGCTGGGCCTGGTGGGGGCCGAGCGGGAGGAGGATGGAGTGCTGGTGGCCAAGCTCCTGGAGACCATGCAGCTGACTGGTGAGTGTGGGCCCCACGCCACAGTGGGGCCCAGTGTTCTCATTGTACCAGCGTGTGCATAACATGAAATTTACTCTTTTAGCCATTTCTCAGTTTGTAAATTCACTGGCATTAGGTACATTCACATTGTTGCGCAACCACTACCAACATCCAGCTCCAGAACTTTCTCATTTTCCCAAAATCAAACTGACCCCATTAAACACCAGCTCCCCAGTGCCCTTCCCCAGCACCTGGTAACCTCTGTTCCACTTTTTGTCTCTGTGAATTTGACGACTCTAGGGACCTCATATGAGTGGATTCATGCAGTATTTGGCCTTTTATTTCTGGCTTATTTCACTGAACATAACATCCTCGAGGTTCGTCAGTGTTGTAGCATGTGTCAATATCTTACTTCCTTTAAGGCTGAATGTTCCACTGTATGGGTTGGCCACGCTTTGTTGTCCATTATCTACTGGTGCACACTCGGGTTTTCACCCTTTGGCAGTTGTGAGTGATGCTGCTGTGGAAACAGAGGTGCAGATACCTGTTTGGGTCCCTGTTTCCAGTTGTTTTGGGTGGAAGCACATTTAGGGGTGTAAGTGCTGGATCATATCTTCAACTTACCTGAGTGCTCTGGCCAGAGCTTCCAGTGCTGTGTTGAAGAGAAGTGGCTAAAGCAGGCATCCATTTGTTGGTCCTGATCCTAGGGGAGAGCAGTCAGTCTTTCATGGTTGAGTAGCATGTTACCTGTGGGCTTTTATCAAGTTGAGGAAGTTTCCTTCTATTACTAGTTTGAATATTTCTACCATTTTGCATCAGCTGAGATGATCGCGTGGTTTTACTCCTTCATTCATATCCTGTCTTAGTCTGTCTAAGCTGCTATAATAAATGACCACAGACTGAGTGGCTTAAACAACAGATATTTCTCACAGTTCTGGATGCTGGACGTCCAAGATCAAGGTGCTGGCCTAGTTGGGTCATTGGTGAGGGCGCTCTTCCCTGTTCACAGGTGGCCATTGTCTTGTGTCCTCATGGGAGGAATAGGGAGAAGGGACACGCTCTCATGTCTCTTGTAGGGGAACAATTCCATGATCAGGGCCCCAACTCATGACCCAACCACCTCCCAAAGACCCGCTCTCCAGATACCATCACACTGGGGATCTGGGTTTCAATATGTGAATTTCGGGGCAGACACAAACCTTCACTCCACAGAATATTCCCTTGCATTCTGGGGATCAATCCCACTTGGTCATGGTGTATAATCTTTTTAATATACTGAAGATTTTGGTTTGCTAATATTTTTTTGAGGACTTTTACATCTATATTTACAAGGGATGTTGGTCAGTAGTTTTCTCTTCTTGTAGTATCTTTGTTTGGCTTTGGTATCAGGGCAATGCTGCTCTCATAGAATGAGTTAGGAAGTATTCCCTCCCATGTTTTGGAAGAGTTTGAGAAGGACTGGTGTTAATTCTTCTTTAAATGTTTGTTGGAATTCACCAGGGAAGCTCTCTGGCCCTAACACTTTTTTTTTGAGGAAGTTGGCCCCGCACTAACATCTGTTGCCAATCTTCCCCTTTTTTTCTCCCCAAAGCCCCAGTACATAGTTGTGTATCATAGCTGTAGAGTTGTAGCTCTTCTGTGTGGGACGCCGCCTCAGCATGGCTTGATGAGCAGTGAGTAGGTCCGCGCCCAAGACCTGAACCAGCAAACCCCAGGCCGCCAAAGTGGAAAGCACAAACTTAACTGCTATGCCACTGGGCCAGCCCTTCTAACGCTTTTTTTATTGGGAAGTTTTTGATTACTGATTCAATCTCCTTACTAGTTATAGGACTATTTAAATTTTCTATTTCTTCTTGAGTCAGTTTTGATAATTTGTGTGTTTCTAAGAATTTGTCTATGGCATCTAAGTTATCTAATTCATTGATATATAATTGTTCATAGTATTCTCTTATAGTCTTTTACTTCTGTATAATCAGTAGTGATGTCCCCACTGTCATTTCTTTTTTTTTTTTTTTCCTTTTTCTCCCCAAACCCCAGTAGATAGTTGTCATAGTTGCACATCCTTCTAGTTGCTGTATGTGGGATGCCGCCTCAGCATGGCCTGACAAGCGGTGCGTCAGTGTGTGCCCGGGATCCGAACCCGGGCCACCAGTAGTGGAGTGCACGCACTTAACCGCTAAGCCACGGGGCCGGCCCCCGGCCACTGTCATTTCTGATTTTAGTTATTTCTGTCTTTTCGCTTTTTTTTTGTTAGTGTAGCTAAAAGTTTGTCAATTTTGTTGATCTTTTCAAAGAGCCAACTCTTGGTTTCATTGATTTCTCTTACTGTTTTTCTGTTCTCTTTCATTTATCTCTGCTCTAATCTTTATTATTTCCTTCCCTTCTGCTAACTTTGTTCTTATTTTGTGTTTTTGTTTTTTGGTGAGGAAGACTGGCCCTGAGCTAACATCTGTTGCCAATCCTCTTCTTTTTGCTGAGGAAGATTGGTTCTGAGCTAAAATCTGTGCCCATCTTCCTCTATTTTGTATGTGGGATGCCTCTACAGCATGGCCTATGAGCAGTGTGTAGGCCCATGCTCAGGATCTGAACCTGTGAACCTGGGGCCGCCAAAGCGGAGCGTGCAAACTTAACCACTATGCTACCGGGCTGGCCTCTTGTTTTGTTAAGATTAGGTTGTTCGGGCCGGCCCCGTGGCTTAGCGGTTAGGGTTAGTCTAAAAGTGAGTATCTTACACACTGTGTGGTTGGATCATGTGTTGTTTTATCCATTCTGCCAATCTCTGCTTTTTGATTGGAGATTAATCCAGTTACTTTTAAAGTGATTACCAATAAGGAGGGACATCTGTGTCTCACACCATCTCTGTCCCTCATCTTCTCTGTGGCTGCTTTCATGTCTGGTTGGTTCTTTCTGGTACACTGTTGTGATTCCCTTCTCATTTCCTTTGTGTACAACTTTGGGATGTTTTCTTAGGGGTTATGGTGACAGTGGGTTTTAACAAGTCAGGCTGAGGGCCTCACGGTGTCTGTGGTGTGTTGAGCCCTGTGCTGGGCGTGTTTTGGGGCTTCTCAACACCCTGTACCTCCTGGAGTAGGCACTGGTGAATACAGTGACAGTGACGTGGGCCAGGGCCTGACCTCAGTGCCTTTGCTACATTTACCCATTTTACAGATGAAGAAATGCGGACTTGGAGGCCTTGAGAGATTGAGTGACTTGCCAGGTTCACAGAGGGGTGGCTGAGGGATAGGCGGAGTCCCTGGACCGAACACTGAGTGGGGCTCCACACACATGCTGGATGGACAAGCGTGGGGACTGGAGGGTGCTGACGGGTGTGGGTCAGTGTGGGGACTGGAGGGTGCTGCCTCTGCCCCAGTGCCCTGAGCAGCTGCCTACTCCAGGTGCTGACTTCACAAACACCTTCTACTTGCTGAGCTCCTTCCCAGTGGGGCCTGAGTCTCTGGGCCTGACCGAGTTCCTGGCTGCACTGACCACACAGTGTGCCTCCCTGGAGGAGCTGAGGCTGGCCTTCCGACCCCAGATGGATCCCCGGTGGGTACCTGGGTCTTATTTTCTTGGAATTTGTTTCCAGAAAGGGAGGAACATTTAGAACGGAGCATGCAGGGGGAACGTGCACATCAGGGACGATTAGAGACAGAGTTAGCCAGGACGCCTGGGGGCCCAGGCAGCTGCTCCACGCCCAGTAATGGGGAGGTGGGGGCGGTCAGGTCCCTGTCTCTGCAGCGCTGGGTCAGAGGAAAGGACAAAGCTGCTGACACTGGGTGGCGGACGGTAGTGTCTGCCCTGGGGTGGCTTCCCAGAACAGCTCTTGGGTCTGCCCAGGAAGAGCATGTGGGCCCTCAGGTGTCCAGCTAGACTATGCTTTCCCCACCATCTCCCACTGGGAAGAACCCCATGTCCCAAGGGTGTGGCCCACACTCAGGATAAGACATGTGAAGTGCTGGTCGTGAGTTTTGATAAATAAAGCAACAGATTGTGCTCAGAGAGGAATTTAGTGCAGCAGGGTGGAGAGTGGACTGACGGCTCCCAGGACGTGGGGGTGGGGGGGGAGGACCAGCTGGTAGGACCTGCTGAATACAAAGCCAGTGCAACTGGGGAAGGAGTGTCTGGGTGACCCTGTCCCCCTAGGCCCTTTTGGATGTGGGGAAGGACCCAGCCCTGTGGTGACCACCGGAGGTGCTGACAGCAGTGACCTCCTAGGGGAAGTTGGTGCTGGGTTGGGGTGTAGGCGAGTGCCAAGTAACAGAGAGATGGTGACCTACCCCTGGTCTTTGTAAGGCCTGGGTGATCCCACACCCTCTACCCACCCCAGGGGCCCCCGAGTCAGCCTGTGGCACCTGTCCCTCAGGGCACATCTCTGCTGCACCGCATGGAGGCGCTGCTGAACAAGCGTGGGTGGCTGGCAGGTGCCCCCCATGCCTCCTGCGTGTCGGGCCCGGGCTACCACCCTGTAGGGCTCTAGGTAGGGGTGTAGCATCAACGTCCTGGGTGGTCCACACAGTCCACAGCCAGTGGTGGGGACGCTGCAGCCTCCTGGACACACCTCATGCTGCCCACTCTGCACAGGCAGCTCTCCATGATGCTGATGCTGGCGCAGTCGAACCCACAGCTCTTCGCGCTCATTGGCACCCAGGCAAACGTCACAAAGGAGCTGGAGCGTGTGGAGCAGCAGTCGCGGCTGGAGCAGCTGAGCCCGGCCGAGCTGCTGAGCAGGAACAGGGGCCACTGGGCTGATTGGCTGCAGGAGTACAGGTGAGGCCGGCCCCACCGTCCAGGGTCAGCAAGGCTCTGGGTCACCACAGCGCCAATGGCTCTGTGTCACGGTCTCCCTGTGAGGTGGCCATAGATGACCCCACGCAGGGGTCCAAACATGGGAGGGTAGGGCTGCATCTGCTGGAAAGCTGGGCTCTGGTGTGATTGCAGAGCCCGGCTGGAGGAGGACAGGGAGGGTGCTGGCGACCCTGACGCCTGGCAGGCTGAGCGCGTGCACATCATGCATGCCAACAACCCCAAGTACGTGCTGAGGAACTACATCGCGCAGACTGCCATAGAGGCTGCCGAGACTGGAGACTTCTCAGAGGCAAGCGCACGCATGCCTGCCCCTCTTCTGCCCTGGTCCCTCAGCGGGGGTGGGCCTGGGAGGGAGGGAGGCCCCCAACACCCCTTCCCTTGCTCTTCTCCAGGTGCGGAGAGTGCTGAAGCTGCTGGAGGACCCTTACCACAGGGAGGGGGAGGCTGCTGAGGTCCCCGAGGCTGCACAGCCTGAGGGGGCTGGTGAGGGGGCCAGCAGGGCGGCCGGCAGGCGGCGCTCCTACAGCAGCAAGCCCCCACTCTGGGCTGCAGAACTGTGTGTAACATGATCCTCGTAACTGCCTGGGAGGCCTCCACACCAGGAGGGTCCCAAGGCCCTGAGTCCTGCTGAGTCCGTGAGGCGGTGCCCAGCAGTGGACAACCCCACACGCCCGTCTCTCCATGACGGCAGAGATGTCCAGTCAGGCCCTGACCTGTCTCTGTCTGACACCGACTCAGCAGCACAGCACAGCCCCAGGTCAACACGCTCCCTGTGGAAAGCTGCTTCTGCAAGAACAGGCACCCAGCAGGACCGCGCGGGGGGACATGGCAGGCCCCATCCACCTTTCCAGCCGGGGGGGGGGGGGGCTGGCACCGTGTGGCTCCTGGTTGTCAGGGAGACTCGGCCCCTAAATAAACCAGCAGCTTCCTTGGCCCATCTCTGTGTGGTCATTCTGCCCCTGCCCTGGCCCCAGGACCTGCCCAGGAGAGATCAGCACTGGTGGGCGGGTGGCCTGTTTCTCACGCGCCCCGTGCCTCACCTGGAGCGGCCCTCAGACATCCTGGTAGTAGTTGTTGAAGTTGATGCGCAGCAGGAAGTCTTCCAGGTGGGGCTGGTAGCCGCGGTTCACCAGCTTGGTCACCACTGGGGCCGGGGTGGGGTGGTCAGTGAGCAGCTCAGCTGGGGCCCTCCCTGTGGCCCCTGCCCAGCCCGGGGAGGACAGGTCACCTTTGAAGAGGAAGTGGGAGTAGTACTTGAAGGTGCTGTAGGACTGCTGCATGAGGGCAAAGTTAGGGTGCTCAGCACCCCGGGGGCCACTGGCTGGGCCCCAGGGCTGGGAGATGAGCTGGCTGCGGAACTTGAGGATGAGGCTGAAGATGCTGTGGATGATGTTCATGACAGGTGCTGCCTTCTCCGTCAGCAGGCCCCTGGGGGAGCGAGGTGGGTGCTGCTAGTGGGGTGCACCGCCTGACCTCAGAGGCCACGGCCCCAGGCACCCATGGCTCACCTAAAGATGGCCTTGTGCAGGTACTCGGCGTGGGCGCGCTGGATCTCCTCCAGGTCGCCCACCACAGCCAGCCTGGCCTGGAACTCACACCAGGTGACGTGCAGGATCTGGTTGGCGATGTAGCCCTGGATGACCTTCACGAAGTGCTGCATCTCGTGCTTGAACAGCTGCAGCTGGCGGAACTGCACGGAGCCGGCCACGTGGCTCACCAGCGCTATGGAGAGAGCGGGAGGTGAGCCACAGCCATGAGCCGAGGGGACACCCAGGCTCCAGCCAGGTCTCACCTGTGCGCTTGAGGTGGAAGCAGACATCCCTGAGCGTCCACATCATGAGCTTCAGCTGCAGCAGGAAGGAGAAGATGCCGCTGTACCTGCTCAGGCAGCTCTCGGTGACAACGATGTTGAGGGGCCAGTCCACCTGCGGGGGAGGCCGCTCAGCACGCCCCCGAGGGCCAGCCCCCTGACCCGTCCACACAGTGGAGCCCTGCTGACCTTGTACCTGAGCTCCAGGCAGCTCAGCACGTCTGGGGCATTGGGGGCAAACGCCTCGGGCAGGGACTTGAGGGCGAAGGAGAGGTTGGCGGCGTGTGGGGTGTCACCGTGCAGGCTGCACTGCAGGGCCTTGCTCAGCACTGAGTTCAGCACCAGCGGGTTGAGAAGCTCCCCAGGCGTCTGCCCCGCCCCAAGCTGAGGCAGGAGAGGGCACAGGTGTCCCGCGGAGTCCTGGACATGGGTGACGTCCCCGCCCACAGCCCCCCTAGCTGCGCCCCACTCCGCGCCCAGGTCACCTTCTCAAAGAGCAGGTCGCTGAGGGACTGGGCGAACTCGCCGTCCTCCATCAGCAGGAAGTGCCGCAGGGCCTCGAAGTGTGCCTCGAGGTGGAGCTCCACGAAGAAATAGTCGACTGCGGCCTTGTTCACCAAGGAGACACTGGCGGGAGGGGCCGGGAGTCAGGTGCGGGCCAGGCGGCCAGGGCCAGCTGGGGCGGGCGGGGCGGCACTCACTGGGTGGCCAGCGGGGCAGTGAGGGAGCGCTTCATGAGCACGGGCAGTGGCAGCAGTTCACTCAGCTGCACTGCTGTCTCGTCCGCGTCTGACTGGACCTGGGGGTCCTCAGGGACGGCGAAAGCCCGGGGCAGCCCGTGGTGTAGGAAGTGGGCGACGGGAGGCTCTGCTGTGGGGACAACACAGGCTGCTGTCGTGCCCCAGGGACACACCAGCCGGCCCCCTGCCCGCCCCCCCGCCGTGGCTGGGCACTCACACATGGCCTCGTAGCTGTCCGGGTAAGGCTCCAGGCGGTACTGCCCCGCCAGGCCTGCCAGGTAGGCCTGCTCCCTGCTCCAGCGCCCAGCCGCCACCTCCTCCTCACTGAGGCCCGGGCTGCTCCGGGCAGCCGCGCCTTCCTAAGATGACCAAGCCTCGAGAAGCCCGCCCCTTCCCCTCGTGTGGAAGAGGAGTAGGGGGTGGGACCCCCACGTGCCACCCAATCCTGGAGGGACAGAGCCCTCACTGCTCGTGCAAGGCCAGGCGTGGGGTGGTCAGCAGAGCGTGCTCCCCCAGCCCAAGCTCCAACCCCCAACCACGTCTGCCCTGACCTGTGAGCCTGGAGGGTGGCTTGGAGAGATGTCCTCAGTGTCCCCACTCCTCCCTGGGCCTGAGCAGCATAAATAGGGCAGAAGCGGCATCAGGACCAAGCGCCTCCTGCGGGGGGGTGGGGGGGGCACCTCCCACATCCCCAGGGCAGTCGACTTCTTACCCTTCCCCCCTAGGCCCACTGAAGCCGCCAGCGACATGGCAGCCCTGGGGACCCCACTGACCTGGCTCCTCGGGGGTGCCGTCTCCTAGAATGCCAGGCACAGCCACAGCCGACGATGAGGCCTGGAGGCCACTCTCCTCCCCACAACCAGAGCCAGCCACCTGAGTGCAGGAGCTGCCTGAGGCCATGTCTGTGGGCAGTTGTGGCTCACAGTCCTGGGCAGGGCTCTGTTCTCCCAGGCTGAGGCCTGACAGGGACACGTGGTCAGGGGAGTTGCGGGGGGGCCTAGGCTTATCGATCCGGGTTTCCTCTGAGAGTGTACCCAGCATCATGTGGGACTGAGACACGTGTCCGTGGACGTTCCACCGTGGCCGGGAGGGGGCCACGTCCCACACGTTCTCCCCCACCCTGATGCTGGCATCAGACACGTGACCGTGGACGTTCCACCGTGGCCGGGAGGGGGCCACGTCCCACACGTTCTCCCCCACCCTGATGCTGGCATCAGACACGTGTCCGTGGACATTCCACCGTGGCCGGGAGGGGGCCACGTCCCACACGTTCTCCCCCACCCTGATGCTGGCATCAGACACATGTCCATGGACGTTCCACCGTGGTTGGGAGGGGACCATTCCAGAAGGATGAGCCCCTGTGGGAACACTGCCCTCTGACACATGCCCAGGGAGCTGGCCTGTGGCCTGGCTGCTCCCCTCCTGGGGGGAGTTGTGCCTGGGGGAGTGTGGGTGAGGCAGAGCCACCTGCCCATCCAGGACAGACATGTCCACCTGCATTTGAGTGTCCCCCCACAGCTGCCCCTCGCTGTCCAAGTTGCCTCCTACAGTCTGGAGGGGCCCTGGGGAAGCCAAGGTGGCCACGGCTGGCCTCAGGATGGTTCTGAAATCGTACTCCTGTGGCCCAGAGGGCCCTGTGCCCACCACTGCAGATGGACCTGGGGGAGGCAGGTCTGAGCTGATGGTCCGCAGTGCCTCCCGCAGGACAGGGGCCACGCTGGTGTGCACAAGCTGCTCAGCTCCCTGGCCCATGGGCAGGAAGTCTTGGGTGCTGAGGCCTGCAGAGAAGGGCCCTGGCCCCTCTGCCTGCCCTGGCTGTGGGCCTGCTCCTGGCCTCAAGCCACAGGCCCCTGCTGCTGGAGCCTCGAGGGGTTGCAGCATCGGCACGCTCGGCCTGCTCGGGCAATCCCAAGCAGCCACGTGCTGTTCTGCACTCCCAGAATGACAGCTGCCACCTCCATCTGGGTGCTCGGGACCTGGAGATGAAACCTGAAACACAAGTACACACTGGTCCCTCCAGTTACCTGGCTCTATCCCCCAAGTTCAATTCTGCAGCCAGCACTAAACCCCATCCAGTGGAGGGGCTGTGGGGACACAGGCCAGGCCCAGCGCATGCTGTGCTCCCTGGGCAGTGCAGGCCTGGGCACTCAGCTCATAGCCCCACATCACACACCCTGGGTGCTGCCCCCGGCCCCTTACCTGGGAGTGTGCACTCGGGAGGACGGCCAGAGGCTCCAGGGGCTTCCCCTCGGACAGGTCATTCAGCATTCCCTGAAATTCAGTCAGTGGGTATGAGGCAGCAGCTGTGTGGGGTGAGGAGCAGAGCTGGCGCCCAGAGCCTCTGTGCCCTCACCCGCCACACGGAAGCCACAGCCCCACGGCTCACGACACCGCAGCACTGAGCCGAGGTGAGGCCTGTGCTGCACTCTGTTCACGGCCCAGGCCTACGGATGGCACTCAGCACTGTGAGCGCGTCACTGTCTGTTGTCTGAGGGCAGCACATGCCTCTCTTCCCAGCCACAACACCTCTGAGTGATGTGCTAACTGATGAGCCTTATCAACCCTCTCCTAGAAGGGCACACAGGGCTGCGTGCTATTTCAGGGGGTCTGAGTCCCCCAAAGCCCAGAGGAAGAGCTCCCACCTGAAACTGCGGTAATACCTGAATGTGCTTCTGATCTTCTAGGAGAAAATGCAGCCGTGCGCTTGCCAGCCTGTGCCTCTGGCTTCTCCACAGCGCCTTTTGCTCTCGACGAGCTGCCTCTGCAGACAACTTACTGTAATGGTCAACCAGCGCCTGCCTGAAGCCACACCCAGAGAGGACCACGGTCACCCCACTGTCCAGCCAGCACCCCGTGGGCTGGGATGGCTCTCCATGACAGAGGCGGGCAGTCTGCATAGCCCAGCACCTTTCCCCAGGCCAGCAGCTGGTCCCTCTGTGCCCCCACAGCACCTGCAGCAACCTCACTGGGCAGGTCTTTCTGCCCAGCAGACTGAGAGCCCTAGGTGGGCTGGCATCCTGCCAGAGCTTAGCAGAATCTGCTGAATGAATTCCTACACAGCCTAAAACAAAGGGACCAGCAGTGGCCAGGCACCCAGGCCCTCTAGGGGCAAGGCCTCCCTTCCTCAGCCACACAAAAGGCATCCTCCTGTTCTGCTGGTGTGAACCCCGGAGAACTGAGGATTAACGCCGAAGGCTACACCGAGGACAACACCAACGCAGGAACTGCTCAACTCAAAGCTGGCCAGCACATCACTCCAGGATTCTGATCCTCACCAGCAGGGGACTGGGTTCAAACCTGGACGGGCCATTTCCAATTTGGCTGCCACAGGACAGGGACATAACCACTACACCTCGTCTTCTCCATGTGTAAACAGGAAAATAACATCTACTCACACACGCACACACCACACATGCATGCAAATGCACAGACACGCACACATATGCACAGACACGTGCACACAAATGCACACAGACGTGTGCGTGCACATCAGCTGCTGGCTCCAGGTCACGGCTCCATAAACTATCTCAGGTCGGGACACTCAGATCCCAAGACGATGAGCAGGAAGTGACAGCCCATCCCACAAAGGCCCCCCCTTGAGACACCAGCTCTGCCTCCAGCTTTTGGGAAATACAGGGGAGGGCAGAACAGGCTAATGACACCACAATGAGACAGACTCTCAGATTCTGTGCTGGATGAACGCCCCATCTCTGTCAAGCTGCTAAGAGGTTTAAAAAGAAATGAACAGAGGCTGTTTAAGTTAAAAGAAACGATGAAAATGAATCAAGGAAAACCTCACTCAAAGTGGAGTCAGGAAGCCCTGTGGAGGGCGCACTCACACACACCACCTGCCGTCGCTTACTTCACAGTCCAGGGCAGGAAGAGGCTCAGTCCACTGCCCCAGCAAGAGGAAGGTTTTCTCCCCACCCAGCAACAGTCCAGCCAATGAGAAGCTGTCACCACCCTGTACTCCTGCTCTCCTCCAATGGACTTTTGTTCAAAGCAGCCCCACCCGACTTCCTCCTTTTTCTCTATAAAGTAACTTTCTCTCCTGTGTTCTCCAGACTTGCCTATGGTTCTGCCATAGCTTGCACGTCCGGAAGTGCAAATCCTCTGCCGTTCCCGAATAAACCCCTTTTGCTGGTAAAATAACTGGCTGTTTTATTTTTAAGGTCGACAAGACAAAGAGGACAGCAAACACAGTGTGCAGACCTTGCCTGGACTCCAACCAACACCAGCCAACCACAAGAAGACTTCTGAGGACACTAAGGATGTGTCCAGAAGCACTGAGTCCGGGTGGACGTTCTGAGGTCAGATTACTACTCTTCCTGCCTTAATGGACACTTGAAAGTTTTCAAAATAAAAAGTAAAACGACCATCACTAAGATCAAACCAGTCACAGTGCCCCTGCAACACCCTCACCCCAGAAGGGTCAGCCCAGAGTGACCACTCCGCCCACGGCTGCCCTACCTCGCCTTCCTCTCCAGCTGCTCCTCCAGAGCCTTCAGCCTCTTCTCCCTGTCGCGGAGTTCGCGGGCGTAGCTGAAGTCGTCATCCAGCTCCTCCTGCCTGGCCGCCCGGCGTCGCTGCACAACACACCCGCAGGCACCCCACTGGTTAAACCCAGACTCCCGAGCCCATGCCATGCCCAGCGGCCGTGCCCACCCACCTCCTGATCCTTCACAAACTGCTCTTTCAGCCTCTGAAACTGCTCCCGCTTCCGGGCGTCCACAGCCATCCGTTCAGACATCTGCCGGTCTGTGTTGAGATGGCCAGAGGGGCACCATTGTGAAATGGAGCCCCCAGCAGGCGGCCCTCAGCATCACAGAGGCAGGACCCAAGCCACACACACCGCTGAGCTCACTCAGGACCCTGGACGCCGCCTCTCGGGCGTGGACAATCAATTCTTGCTTTGCAATTTCCATTCGTAATTCCTGAAAAAGACATCAGTAAACAACGCATCCTAATCCTCTGTCCCCTCCCCTGGGTTGGCCTGAGGGGTGAGTTTCTCCAGGGATGGTGCCCAGGCTGTGAGGACAAGGTGCCCCGTCCTGTGCAGTGACAAGGCTGGCTCCCAGGGCAGCTGACATGCTCTCTCAGCGCAACCTGGGGCCAAGACCCCAGGCCTGTGTGTGCTCACTCTGGAAGGAGCCAGGGGGCTCAGGGAGGGACTCCTCCATAGGAATGGAGGACTAGGCCCAGGCCCCCAAACAGGCTGGCACCCTCTTACCCCCTCCACTCTCCCCCAACTCGTTCTCTTGGGTCTGCCCCCACCCACGTCTCCCTGCTGCCCACCAGGTGCCAGGCCAAGAGAGGCTTTCCATCAGACCCCTCTCCCCAGGTGCACAGGATACTCAAAGCTCAGGTCCTGGCACACCTACCCCTTCTGAGCAGGCAGGGAGCTCACAGAGGCCACCACGGGCAGGAACCTCGGGTCCTGGGGCCCTGGAGCCACCGTTTGGCCAGGATTGGGCCTGCCCACCACCCAGCCAGCTCCAGGAGAAGAAAGGACAGAGCTCCTGCCCCAGGTGTCCCCACCCAGACACACCACCAGGACAGAGAACACCAGAGGCAGCCTCCCCATCTTGCACGCCCCACACCCAGCTGCTCTCCCAGCCTGAGACCCTTGGAGGGGTGGGAGGCACAAGGAAAGCCCCAGGGCCATGGTGCTCGGGCACCTTCTCTTCCTTGCTGATGGAGCTGTGGCGCGCCACCCTCTCCATCCGCCCCACGTAGATGGCGCAGTCCTTCTCGATCTCCTTCAGCTCTTCAAGGGAGAAAATCACCGAGATCCGAGGGACAGGGACATCAGACCAGCAGAGGTAGTGCTGCCAGGAGGGAGAGCCTGTGCTGAGCCTGCTGCACGGGACCCTGCCCTGCTCTGCCCCCCACGGTGACACGTGTGGACGGCTGGCTTCTCAGAAACATCATCCCTCAACCAGGGGCATGACACCCTCCACGGCTCCAGGGACAGCACTGGCTGTGCGGGTCTGTGCCCAGGCCAAGGCTGCCTGCCTGACTCCCACAAACGACCTTTCAGAAGAAGCTGTGAAACCCTGGAGCTCTCCTAGCTGCCCTCATGGGGAAGCATCGGCTCTGGACACAGAACACACGGGCACTCACTCACTGAGGTCAGCCCTGCAGACCCACCCCGCCCACCCCAGAGGGCCCCCCCTCCCCTGGGAGCCTCCACCCCTCCCCTGGGAGCCCCACTCCCCACAGCCAATCTCTTGGCAGCTCCTGAGGGCTCTGCCCCCCAGCCTCACTAGCGTGGACCCCTCCCCACATCCACAGCTTCCACCAGCCCCTGCGCCTGTCCTGGCCACTGCAGTCTATTCCAAGCCCAGCACCAGCCACGGGCTGAGACTGGCCCCTCCTCCGCCTGGACCCTCCCCAGCCCCATACTCCTAGGCCCCCTGGCCCTGGTCTGGCCTCCACCCAGCTGTTCCCACTGCCTGGGAGCCCCAGGTCCACATGCCCGGCCTGCCTGCCTCAGCTTAGGCATCAGACAGAACCTCCTCGAAAAGGCTGCCCATCTACACTCTCCACTGCCAACCTGGCCATCCTCCACAGGGCCTTGGCCACATGGACACTGGCAAAGGCCTCTGCCCAGACCTCTGCTCCAGAGCACAGCCAGCCCCCAGGCCAGGGGGACACGACTCCCTAAACCAGCCTGGGTCCATCTTCCCGTGGATACAGCCCATCCCTGGCCTGCCGGGGCAGTTTCCAATGCAGAGGAGGGAGGGAGTGAGCCCACTGCCCCTTAGCCTCTGAAATGCCTTCGGCTTTTCCTCCTGTCTTTGAATGAGCGCCTGGAAACTCCAGAGCTGCTCATGAGACTCTCAGGGGACACTGAGGGAGAGGGCACCACGATCCCCGCTTCAACACGGCCGGCCCAGAGCCAAGGACAAGACAGCCAGGTCTTGGGGGCACGACAGCTCCCAAAAGCCAGAAGTGACAAGAGAGGCAGGGCGTGGGGACAGCAGGCTGGTGTGCACGTGGCAGGACGCCCCTCACCCGGGGGCAGCAGAGCTTCAGCAGGTTGATGGTTTTCCCGCAGACATACACGTCGTGGGCGACGTGCTTCAAGAACATGGGCACGCAGTCCTCCACCTCTTTGGAAATGAGCACGTAGCCGTGGGTCCAGTAAAACTTATCTGAATGGGACAAGACACACGGCTGGCCTGCGTCCAGCAATCACCCACCTGATGGCGCAGAGGCCCAGCCCAGCAGACAGCTGCCACCTACCTCTGAAGCCGAGGTACTCATGGTTCACTTGGATCATAAACTCGCCATAAACATCTCTGAAGACCCCACTATATACCCAGTCGTGGATGAACCTGCCGAGGGAGACGGCCCAGCAGTGAGGCAGCCGTGGTGGGCACCAGGATGGGCACAGCAGCCACGGGATGGAGTGGTCTGCCCAGCCGCCCACAGTCCAAGCCCACCTATCCTGCCCTCCCCCTCCTCATCTATGATGCCTGTGCTCAGCAGGTGTCTGACAAGAGGATACTCTCAAATATCTGCTTGGACTGAGTGTGGCCGCGCCCCACTCGCTGAACCCCGCCCCCAGCCTCCCACCGCGTGTAGGGCTCGCAGCTGGTCTTCAGCAGGGACAGCAGCACCGGGTAGTGCTCGTTGCTGCAGTTATCCAGGGCCTCCTGGTAGAGGTAGGAGAGCAGCTTCACCCCCTGGAGACAGCAAGGGGAGGGGACTCAGCCCAGGCAGCACTCGCAGCAGATGGGGAGCCCCACCCAGCTCGACACTCAGCAGCAGCCCCACCCCAGGGCCACGCTCAGCTACAACCCTTTCCAGGAGCCAGCCAGGCTAACACTCAGCAAGAATGCAGAACTCACAGTGGGGAACGCGGCGCTGGGCTCTCCTCCACCGGTGCCAGGGAGTGCAGTGCCGACCCCACAGAGCTCAGCCAGGTACCTAGACACAGAGGCCAGCGGAACTAGAGGAGCAGACACTCAGAGCACCCAGGCTAGGTGAGACCAGGTGAGCAGACACTCAGAGCCCCTGGACCAGGTGAGACCAGGTGAGCAGAATGTATCCCAGGCCCTTCTCCACCTGTCTTCATGCTCAGGCTTTAAAACCACATGCACCTGAAGGACCTGAGAGTTGAGCTTCCTGCCGGACTTCGCCCAGCTGCTCCGTGCATCTCTACCTCCTTCTCAGGCTCGGCTGAGACTCCAAATCACCCTGAGCCACGACCTCCCACCCTGCACCCCGCGCCTGCAGCTCTACCTTAAGACCCCTCCTGCACCCCGCACCACCTTGCCTGGTTGCCACCTCCCATGGCCTGGACAACTGCCAAGCCCCTCTGGGGCCCCTCGCCCTCTCTACCCAGCTGCAGTCCAGCCCCACCGCCCCAGCCCCAGCACCCTCCAGCCCTCACGCCTCCACACTCCTGCCCCCTGCCTAGGAGGACTCCTCTCCCACTGAACCACCTCCTCAGGGACCCCAGGCCCTCACTGTCCCTTCTCCAGATGGCACCTGCCAACAGACACTCTGCCTGGTGTTCACTAACCAGCTCGTGAGTACCAGGGGCCGGATCCGTGGGGACCTTGTGTGCCCTTCAGGCAAGAGCCCCCGACCCTAGACAGGGCTGCCATGGTGGGCCACCACAGACACATGCGCACAGCACCCAGCACCTGGGGAACTACACCTACTGGGAGGGCTGTTCTCACAGGCCCTCCACCGCCCAGCAAGCCCCATGCCTCTCCCACATAGCCCCCACGCATGGCTGCCATGTTGAGGCTCACCTGAGCTGCCGGCCCAGCTTCTTGAAGAGAAAGCCAATGGTGAGGAGGCTCAGGGTGGGCGGAGTGGAGAGGACACAAGCCCGGTAATACTGCAGGTACCTCCTCAGGCCGCTGGTGAAGGCCTGTTGGGCAAGGGGCTGGAAGGAGGACGGCCAGGCACGAGACACGACCGCCGAGCTCAGAACTTGAAAAGAGACGCTGGTGCTGGGGAAAAAGGCCTGGCGTCCATCCCCCAACACTGGGGCTCCATTTTTCTAAGGAATGGGCATCTGCGGGTCACGCCCAGACACCCCAGCCCAGCTGGAAGCAAGGACCATTAGGGAAGCCCCGGGCCCACTGCAAATGCTGTCCCTGCAGCCAAGACCAGCTGCACCAGGAAACTGGGACCTGCAGGTCCCGGGGGGATTCTGGAAAGGTGGTCAGGCTCCGCGCACAGACGCTAACTCTAAGAAGGTCTCTGGCTGCTCAGACCACTGGGGTCTCGGTGACACACGTGTCCTGGGCAGCACCACAGCAGCACGGCCCTAGCTCAGCTCACATCTTTACAGGAGATCTGCATGGAACGTTCTGGAACAAATGTCAGTCCACCCACCAGCTAGGAGACAGCTGTCCTGCCTCAGGTCCCAGACAACCGATACGGCAGTCCCCTCTCAGCTGGTTTCCTTCTGCCCTCCCCGGGCCCAGCCTACAGTGCCTAAAACCCAAACCTCATCACGTCACCTCAACAACCCTGCTGCGGAGCCAAAACGCGAAGGAGCCCGCGCAGACCAGCCCCCACTGGGCCCCTTGCCCTGACGCCCTGCCCTCAGAGCTCCCCAAACACCCTGCTCCTCTGGACGCCTGCCCCTCCCACAAGGCCCACCTGCTGTCCTGGGGGCTCTACCTGGCGTGTGGGCTGCCGGGAAGGCTTTCAAGGAAGAGCTGGTTCAGCCCCCCTCCCAGAACTTCACTCGCCCAGTAAGGGACATCCACCGTGTCAGTCACTGTGCGACGCACTGGGGCCCCAGTGGGGACAGACAGCGTGTACCCACCCAGTACCACCTGGTCCTTCCCTGGCCCCCCAAGTGTTGGCCACACCTGCCTCCCACTGGCCCATGGCCCAAACACGTCCCCCCTAGTCTCCAGTGAAATGACGGACGAGGTATACACGGTCACCCCATTCCCAAAGAGTAACTCTCGGGTTTCAGATGTTACCGAGGAAACAAAAGGTTTGGACTCAGTGTCCTGGGGTAGGACCTCTGCAGCTCTCTTTTCCAGAAATTACGCAGTTCTCATGAAGACGCCTGACAGCCGGGAGGCTGAGGGCCGTACCTGGAATACGAGGCCTTTGCTGCATGCGGAGTCCAGTACAGGCTGCAGGGAGAAATGGCTCAGGCGCGCATAGTGGGTCCCGCACTCGGCCACCTCCGAGAGGAGGCTGCTGATGCTCTCGGGGGATGCTCCCGATACATGGACGCCCCGCTTCACCACGAAGGCCTGAGCTGGCTGGACAGGGCAAAGGAGAAGTCACTGAGGCCAGGCATCCAGCGCCCAACGTGGTGCCACATCCCCTTCCACCCATGCACCCAACCACGGCACTGCACCGAGTGCCTCCAAGACTGGGCACCCCAAGCCAACACAAACGGGAAGTTCCACAGCACAAAGCAGAGAGCCACACGGCGCACCTGAACTGTCCCAGCCCTAGTATAAAAACAGATAGAAACTACAAGTATAACTTCTCACTGACCACATGAAAAAGAACATGTTTAAAATGACAAGCCAACTGCAGAGAAGGTGTGGGAAAACAGAACACCATCCACACCCCACAAGACGTGCACACAAGAACAGCCTTCTTGAGGGCAGAGGCCTCACAAACGTGCTTGCCATCAGATCTGTAATCCGACTCCTAGGGATGCGTCCAAAGGAAATGATGGAAGATGTACACACACATTTGTCACAGCAAGTTCCCCACAATAGTGTTTACAGAGAACAGAAACAACCCGAGACAGAGCTGATTACAATAAGAACGTACGGGATGCAGGGAAGGCAGAGTGAAGAGGAAAACTTATAGTGGTAAGTGCCTACATTAAAAAGGAGAAAGGTCTCAAATAACTGCGTTGTGCATCTATGGAGATAGAAAAGAAGAGCAAACTAAACCCAAAGCCAGAGGAAGAGAAATCATAAAAACTAGAGCAGAGATAAATAAAATAGAGAATAGAAACAACAGAAAGAATCATGCAACCAAAAGTTGGTTCTTTGAAAAGATCAACAAAATTGACAAACCTTTAGCTGGACTGACTAGAAAAAAAAGAGAAGACTCAAATTACTAAAGTCAGAAATGAACGTGGGGGGCTGGCCCCGTGGCTTAGCGGTTAGGTGTGCGCGCTCTGCTGCTGGCGGCCCAGGTTCAGATCCTGGGCACACACCAACACACCACTTCTCGGGCCATGCTGAGGCCACGTCCCACATACAGCAACTAGAAGGATGTGCAGCTATGACATACAACTATCTGCTGGAGCTTTGGGGGAAAAATAAAT